CGAAAGAAAAAATATTAGATAATATTTATAATATTGTTATTTTGAACAGTGTACTCATATGAACTACTGTAAATATTGATTATCTTTAAGAATGACTATTTATGTAAAAATGCACTATTTATCAATAGTTGGAGAAATTATGGCCTATGGTCATCTTTTCCGTATGGCCATAATACCCTAGTTTATACCCTACCATAGTTAAAAAAATTATTTATTATTAGAGGAAAGGCCTCTATTATGAGATGTAGGGGTTCGTTTTGGGTAAATGCTAGAAGTCTATAGGCAGAATTTAAAAAAATATTAGGTCATTTTAAAGGGAATTTAATAAGCTTTAAAATAACGTTAAATAAAATTTTATTCAAATTCCATTATTTTTTTTTAAATTAAAGAAATGTAAAAAGTGAGCAAATCGCAAAGTCAAAAAATTGTGCTCCTAATATGAGATACCCCGAGAAATCGACAGTAAAACTCAAAGTCATCAGTATTGTGTGTAATTAAAAAATTTTATTTAATGTTTCTAAAATACAAACAAACACAGCCAGCGTGCGCGAAAATTGAGCACGCGATAAATTATACCTAGAACTCGTTTTCAGGTAGTTGGAATCAAGCATCCCAAATATAGGCACTCGACGTTCATTCCGGTTGTCTTTTTTATTATTGTACAATACAATAACATTTATACTTTAGGAACGATTTTCACTATAACACATAGGAGCATGGGTTATTTCATATTAGAAATACCTTGGGTCTTATATTACGATTTATTGTTTTACGGTCATCAAATCTAACTTCTGTAATTAAACAATTCAACATATTCCATATTTTTCTATTAGTACGACCTTACTCTATCACTACATGAAGAATTTATTACTAAATATTTATTTATTAAATAATAAACAAGGTTTAAATGCTCATCTCAATGAAACTTGAAGACATACAAATTCTAAAACCTTGTTTTACAATGACCACAGGCATGATATAATAATGATTTTTCTACTAAATAGTTTTTAATCCAAGAGCAATAAATTCATGGTGGAACCAATAGATAGCGTTTATTAGTTTAGCAAAAACGCTATCTCATATTAGGCGCTTATCTCATAATAGGGGACTTTCCTCTAAATTTTGTGTATATAACATCTTTTGTTAAAAGCTATACACTGTGAAAATTAACTCATTTCATCGAGACTTAGGTTGTTTTAGGAGACACGGTCGACATAAATATCGTTTTATTTTTGTTATTCATTGAAACAGATAGAACGACATTCGCATTGATTGTGTTTCTAAAAGGAAAGCAGCCCTAATTTTTCGTATAATTAGTATGGAGTTCTTTCTAATAGAAACACTCTTCGTGTAATCTCTAAAAGTGATAGTTATGAAATGGAAAAGTGATAAATTTTTGAGTTGTTTGAGTTATTATCGTCGAATGTTGTGTCAAGTTAATATGTCGTGTCTTACCAAAGATGTATGTGCTGAATAAACGTATTAGAACTCTAAATCGAGTAAATTAAAGTAGTTGCATTTGTGTCTTATATGATATTAACCCTTACCGTACCATCTACAATTTGGTGCCTCATTCATACCAACCAGGGTCACTAGAATCTCTTCGTTTTTTCACCTCTTCAAAATAATTCAAAAAATCTCTAAAAATTCACCAACATACTTCCAACTTTCTAGAATAAATATTAACTTTTCATTTTAGAAAATAATAAAATGTACTATAATTTGTAATTTATAACCAAAAGATTCGTAAGTTGGGAAAAAATGGCATTTGATTTAAAAAATTATAACTTTTCATAATAAATGAATATAAAAAAATCATTCCAGGGTTTTGTAGTTTTTAGATATGAAGTTATGAAAAAAAAATACTAGAACTTCGAATTCTACAAAAAGTTGAATTATTTGAACACATGAATATGAGTAATTTTCAGTAAGGGACATATAAAAAAATTGAGTTAAAATGCGCATTTTTTTATTTTGTCGTAAAATAATGTATTTTTTCATTAAAAAAATGTAAATTTTAATACAGATTTAGATAAATATGTAAAGAAAAGCGTGATTTGCCTCTTCAGTTTTATCTATTTTGTCTAAAAAATAAATAATTCTTTTAGAAAAAAAAATGTTTAATGAAAACAAATATTCAGACATTAATTTAAAGTGAAAATAGAATACTTATAATGATTTTGACACAATTTTTATTTTCACAAAAAAGCTAACATCGTATACTCACAAGGGTCACTAGTGTCTCACGTCGCCTTAAACTGCACGTCAGTCATAGGCAGATTGATGGCCGGGGTTGCACCACCGCGCACAGATCCCCCTCATCACAAACTTTTTTTACGCGGCAATAACAAACGCCGGGTTGACCGAGCTTGCGAGAAACTTGCACGAACAGGAATCACTCGATCACTAGTTACCCATATTAGTACGGTAAGGGTTAAAAAATATATCAAATACGAGAACGCCATCACAGTCAAAATTAGATGTTTCGAATAATAACACATATGTATATTCTTTGTTAAATCAATTTATTTCAGATATGATTGCGCGCCGATAATTTTCGGGTTTTCAACACAGTCCGAAACGCTAATAATCCCCACTAAATTAAATTAGAAAAACTGTAAAGAACTTATTGCGAAAAATATTACCCATTTGTTATAATATATATTTTTTTAATTTATGAGACTTGAGTATTTTTAGTATTTATTCTTTTTATCATTCCCATTCCTTAATATCGAAAAAATATTCCTACCGTATGCAGAGTTCGTAAACAAGACAAATATTATTGAAAGATGTTAGGAGTATCAGTGAAAGTTTACCGGTACTTTAAAACGACTGGTTCAATGTCGTTATTTTCTCCGCGATGCACACGGAAACTTGATCCTGTATGAAATATCGATAAAGAATAACTCGCGCGACGTTCCAGACATTTTTAAACCTAATTTTCCTCTGCTAGAGAAAATCGTCGTTGGATCGCAAAAACGATGTTCGTATCGACGACAATCTCGCGCGGTCATAAAACGCAAATGGTTTGGGCGATAAAAAGTCGGGCGATAGCCTGTCATTCGTTCCATTTGACGCGACTCATTCGCTGCTCTTATCGACGAACTGTCTGATTCTCCGACGCATCGGTCAGAACAATTTGTATTCATGACGAGGATAATATCACCGCCGAAAACAAGGAGGCGGCAGTTCGGTCCTTTCGTTGTACGCGAATAAAGAGACCTGGCGGAAACTGCGACGGAAAACGCGACGGCAGAGTCTGCAGAATGCAACGTAAATGCTTCGGCCGCCTTTCCGCTCTATTACGCGATTTGGTCCTCTATCTGCTCATTATATTTCTGTTCTCTTACATCAGCTGCCGTCCAAACAGGGAGATTTTTTTCCCCTGGTGCTGGGCTTCCCCCGTCCTTTAATTTCTCTCTGATTCGAGTCTCATATTTGTATGCAGTTTTGTGCGGACGATTTTTCCGCTCTCAACTAAAATACAGCTTGCAATAAAATGATCTAATCCGATCTCTAATCCGAAAACAGCTCTTGCTTTAATAATGCTAATACATTCAATTTTGTGTGTACATTGGCTATTATATTTTATTTTTTTAATACTAGATTATTATAGAATAAAATAAATCGCGTGATATTGTTTCTTTAGCGTATATATTTTTTTACATATTGTTTATATTATATCTTTATATAAAAATTTAAAGGGGAAAAAATCATACATATACTTTTTTTATGTACGTAATTTTTAACTTGTTTATCGCGCTGGCTGCCAAGAGAAACTTTTAATGCCTGCCAAGAACATATATAATCTTTGATTAAAGAAATACCTTTAATATTTATAATACAAAATAGTTAATTTCACTTGAATTTCATCTTGGTTGCACAATGACTATCTCAAGAGACTCATTTTGACAAGAATATTGCATTGACGTAGCCTATGAATAAAATGTTGCAAGTTCACTCGATTTTTCACGCCGTTATATGATCTTTTTGAGTCGCGGATTGTTATATTTTTGCTGTAGGCGGAATATTCGTAAAGTACACTCAAATTAATATCCACGCCACAGAAATGCCATTTTGCGAGAAATGTTACCTCGTAAGTCAAGACAAAGCGCTTTGATCCTATGTTTAGAAATGGCATCGTGAAGACCGCGACCAACGTACGAAGCTCTCTCGGAGATACTTCACAGTCGCGCTTTAACTATTTTCTACATCAGTATCATATATATTATAATATTTATAGAAATCTATTTTGTTTTATTTTTATACTTGTTTTCTTTACAACATGCAGTAGATTTAATTGAAACTAATTTATATGCGTTATAGAATATATTTAAAATCCTTAAATAAAATTCTTTAGATCTAAACTATTTCTCAAAATAATTTTGTTACTGTTTCAGGTATTACGCCATAGTGCATCCAATGAGAGCGCAGTATATATGTACCATAAGCCAAGCTCGTAAGATCGTAATCATAACTTGGATAGCAGCATTTCTACTGGGAATACCCATGACGTTTACACAGGTACGGGTGTTTTCAACTTGTGCTCAACATTTCAATAATGAAAATGTTGTTTTTCTTAATTTTTCTCTGTTTTCGTTTAATGCTTTGTTTACATTTTGATAGGTCCGAAACTATAATTACGTTTCAGAATAAACCGTTTCAAGATTAACGTGAAACAATAAAATTAACATAAAATTAATTATGAAACAATTGCAATATTCTACTATGTATTTCTATTCGTGATATTTGTAAAAAACATTTAATTTTCCGTTATTTATACTGTAAAATTTATATCACAGCGTAGTAAAGAAAATTTAAATCCGAACTGGAGAAGAAATATTGTTTTCCACTTCATTTCAAATAAACTCGTATTTAAGGAAGATTTGTAATTACATAAATTAGGTATCAAGTTGTTTGTGTTCCGTATCTGAAATATTCTTTATTTAAAATTCTGATATGGAAAATTTTATTTAAAAAAATGTATGTGCAGGAATAATTGCATACATTGAAGGAGACACCGCCTACCTCTGAGCGATTTTTAAATTGAACGTGATTAATCTGAAACGATGTATCTCTCTAATTTTGTACCGGCACTTGCCATTACAGCGTGTTACTTCTATACTATCGTTTATCGCAACATGGTACTTGGCAATATTTTACACACGCGTGCAATGTGTATCGACGAAATCCGAGAATGATACGCCCCGTAGTTGCACGTCCGATAAAGCTGATACACCCGCTTCGCGTTCACTTACTTTAATGAACAGTGATTTATCTCAACGTTGAAAAGATAGGAATTAAGTAGAAGAAAATCGAGAGAAGACCGACGTGATTGGATTTTCACCTGAAGAATACTTCTCTCGTAATTTCTGGCATCTTCCTAGATAAATGTTCGATGTGTTTATCTTTTCCATTTGAACGTTCTCAGAATCATCGATGGTAGCTGGAAACATTGTAGTTGGTATTCTACACTACATTTAACGTAGTTGTATAATGTATAGATTTTAGATACACTACATTTAATTTGATTTCCAATTTTAGTTGTCTGAAATGAAGATTCGTGCAACGTTACCTCGAATTAATCCACGTGAGTTAAATATGGAATATTAACAACATCTTAAATTTCAAATATATTTAATTTTTTTTAAGTTTAAACTAAAAATTAATGTATTTAGAAAATTGTTTCATTAATTAAATAGTTTAAATGTTTGTACGATCGAATAATGTTTTACAAAAATTGAATTTACTTTACACGAGACAGAGATTATTTTGCTTGATATTTAATTGTCGTTCAGAAGATTCTTTTTCGATGAAAAATACCTTTTTGTGCCCTGAGTATAAGCTGGTTTCATCTTTACTTCACTTAGGATAAAAAATATCGGTTATTATATATATATGTATATACGGATTGTACGCGATTTATTTGTGGCAACTTTTTTTATTCCAATATTATCCCAATAATCCTTCAATGACGTCGGAAATAAACTGATTGTAATCGTGACGCAAATCGGGATGTGAAATCAATTTTCTACAGGGGTGCACATAACATTTTCGAGTTGAGGTTCACCGGAGAACAAGTCTCTTATACGAGAAATTCTTATTCTTATGAGAAAGTAAACGAAGGATTGAAGGAAATGAAATTTTTGCACACACAGGCTTGGCATAAAAGTTATGAATAAAAAGTTGAGAATAAAACGCAGTCAAAGAGGAAATGCGTCTGAAATAAAAATAGTTTCTTATTCTCCGCGAAGCATTAACGAATTACAAATTACAACCGTAAAGACAAATAATTTAAATAACACACGATGCATGCTAAAATATACCTTTTTTATTAGTGTAGTGTCGTCATAATTTGAAATAATGAGAATATTTTAATTTCTTGTACTTGAAGTACTTATCAAATATTATATAATACAGATCTTTTCTATGATTTTTCTTTGAATCTCTCGTTAAAATATAATTAGAAAGATAACGGATCCCTGTACAAGATGTTCCCAGATTTTCTGTAGAACTTTTAACAGTAAAATAGGGCGAGGCTATTCCGTCAGTTTCAATTTTAAAGTAATATGAAGATTTAGGAATAATATCGCTTTGCAGTTGACGTGTTTGTAATTACTTTATACAATCATGATTGCTTTTTGAAAGCACAACCTGTAGGTAAATATTCAATATATGTGCTGTTCAGAAACATGAACATTATCGCGAGAAATGAATGAAAAAGCTTTACTCTTAACCTGTGTTTTATTTATGAGCTTAAGAATGAGAAACATTATATAAGCATAGGTTCTAAAATGTTTTATTAAAAAGTTATAACAAAAATATGAAATATGTAAGAAATATTACCTAAGGTTGCATTTGAAAATGCTCATGTTATTGCAAGCTTGACAGCGATGTAATTTTGAATTTTTTTTTTGTGACGGTAGAAGGGAATCTTCACTGAATATCAGACTGTCAAGCTTATATTCAATGAAGGTTTCCTCTACCTTCACAGAAAAAGATGATAAATTCAAAATTACATCGATGTCATATTTGTATTGACATGAGCGAACGACATTTTAAAATGTAAACTTAGGTAAAATTTTTTATTACATATTCCATATTTTTGTTATAATTTTTTAACAAAGCATTTTAGAATCTGTATTTATATAATACTTATATGATTCCGTATTTATATAATATTTTTTTTATTTTAGCTCATAGAACACTATTAAAGTCTGTACAGAAAATCTGGAAACACCCTGCATATTTTACCTGAATTATTATAAACCATCAGCGATAATAGTAATGTTTTTGAAATTCTTTGTTGAAAATCTTGAGATGAAAATCCTTTACTTCAATTAGGATTTGACTTGTCACTCACTGATATTCTTCCGTTAACAAGGAATTATGAGTCTTTCACAATTTCTTCCATAATTTAAATCATTCGGAAATCCTAGTATGCCATTACAATTCTTGCGACACGTTGAATGGATGAGATTCTTCCTTCGATTATATCCAAAAGAGAGTCATGTCGTAAAGGATTAATAAAGCGCGGAGGCGGACGGCTGATCCTTTTTACGGGGCCTTGAAATAAACGACAAGGGAGCAATGAAAAGCTTTCATATACCGGCGGAATCTTATCACCCCGACATATGTAAATGCCCGACATATGTAAACCCTTAAAACGAGTAGCATGTTGCGAAACATCTTTGCATGCCTCGTTACGTCCCGGAGCATGTCGAGGAGGGCACGTGCCTTCGGTGTCTCTTACTTACTGCCTGTTCTTCTTTTCAGACACACAAGGAAGTCGGGGTGAGGAGAATCGCCTATTGGTGCGTTCGCAATTCCGAAGCCGGACTTCTGTGGAGATCTCACGAAGTTTACATGCTCATTGTGGTCCTCGTGCTACCGCTGATCATCATGGCGTTCTGTTACACGAGCATCTGCTGGGAGATTTGGCGCGTTATGAAACGTCGATATCATATGACGTCGCGGCATGCGTAAGCTCGAGATTTTGTTTTCTTTTTTGGACCTCGTGAATTTCTGAATTGAAAGCATTCCTTTTTCCTGATCTATGAAAAGCTAGCAAGTTCAATCGAAAATAAATTTTTCAAGTCCAAAATCACAAAATTCGTATAAATTACTAATGGTCTCAGAAAATAAATACAATTAAAGTTGTGTAGTAAAAAGTATATTGACATAGTATAAAAAGAAGAGAAAAAATAAAAAACAAGAAGGAAAATAGATAGTCGATATTGCTATAAAAATATCAATTGTCGTAAAAAAAAACGATAATGACTTGGAGAAGCTTATCTTTAAGAATTGTTATTTTAGAATTACGGCTTGATGTGCGTTTCTGAAACTGTTTTGAGAACAATATAACCTTTTCAGTTATAATCGATAATTTATCATGAACTATTAAATTTCAGTAAAGTGAAACTATTACATTTTAATAGCGGTAATATCTCGGGAAATATGTAACAAACATGCGTATGGAAATTTAAACGATTGAATTCTCCACTGCTAATTCTACTACGAGCAATAATAATAGGTGTGAATCCGATTGCGTTAATTTATGTGCGATATCCGCCTACCGCGTATCGGACTTGGTAATAATCTATAAATGGGCGCATACACTGCTATTTGCCTTTTCCGCTATAACAGCAATCGAAAACCGTGTTCTCGCTTGGCCGAATGAAATGTCGATTACTTGTCACGGACATCAGTCACGTATCGTAGGCAAGCGGAAGAGAAAAAAGCACTAATTTTTTTGCCATTTCATGGGTGTCCTGACGCGACCAGCAATCTAATATAAATTACAATTGAATAGCCGGATTTTTGGGTGTTGGCAGGTGGAATTCATATCGAGGTTGGATGACGATAATACGGTGAAGAAGATCGCGTTATCATTTATAACGCATTTTATCTCGCCTGTCGCAATAACGTAAACCTCGCGAGATCTCATCGAGATTTATATATATATAGTTGCGAATAACGCAAGCCGTATAAACTTATCGTGATCGACAGGATTTGTACTCTCTTTCGTGAAATAAATCTTGAAAGTTTATAAAGAAAGTTTATAAAGAAAGATAGTTAATCGATGCATAATTAGATAAAAAAAAATTGGAAAGCATAGTGGAAATGTAAGCGAGATAAAAAAAATATATAGCGAGTACGGGTAGTTTTAAAACAATTTTTCTATCAATAATTGTGAACGAAATATAATTAATTTCTTTTAAGAGCAAGTTGTACATTCAAGCAGTATTGAAGTATTAAAACGAGTTTTTCTTTTTGAATTAGATATTTTGCAGAAAAACTTTGAATTCTTGTTGTTTGTTACCATTAATTATATATGTATATACTCACCCAGTAATATTTGACTTTAGTGGGAAGCAAACTTCTGGTAATGGACGCGGTCGCATCGTTCACAGTGTTTCTTTGGGAAATGTGTAGACCGCAGGCGGTTCGCTTGAAATAGATCGAGGGCGATGGGGCAAACGTAATGGCGAATGCATTTACACTTTATGACTCTACTTGATTCGATTCGCCGTCTCCTGCATGTCGTGAGTGCTCATCTTCAGGCAGTCGCTCGATATATTTTAAAATATTTCAAGGAATCTTTGAGGATTTTCCGTCGATGAACGTAGAGAACTTATTTTGAGAAGGATTTTAGTTGTGTTTACGAGTTTAAGTCTTCCATCCATGAAGAAGTTATCTCTTTTGCCCGTAATGCTTCGTAAAATGTTTCGACATGTGCTTTTGCTTAAATGAAAAAAGATTCATTTAAGATTCTTAGAAGACGAGCTTTCGAATTCGAACTGATAAAAATTAGATGGTATATAAGTACACTTATTTGAAGGAAGGAAGAGAAAACTATCTACATCTACATAATTATAAGAAATAAGACAGATTTCGTTTATTTGGAGTTTTTTTTTATCAATTGATGCAAAGATTTCTTCGAAGAATTGATTGCAGGAGAATACATTCTTGTACTATCGATTGCCATCACTCTTGAAACACTATGTATACAGTACAAGTACGCACGTTATTAAATTAACGCTTCCGATCGCGTGGAGAGGTCATTACTTTAGAATATTCTCTGGCTTCAGTACATCGGTCAACTTGGAGAAGTTCTCCAAGATAAAATTACTGTCTTGCAAGATCAAAGGAAATTCCATGGAGTAGAGTCATAACGTAGTTAACGCACGCAATATCTTGCTAAGATGAAAATGGGTTCTTACATGCATATGAAGCGCTAGATAAAAATTCAGTGATTTTTCTCGTAAATGATTTCATATCCTTCGCGTGTATATGAAAAAAAAAGCGCCTGGATATGAAAAGAAAAGCGCTATTTAACTTTAAAAGTAAAAAAAAGATGGGATAAACTATAATCTTTCTATTAAAACATTATTTGTCAAAGAAGTCAGTTGCAAGAAAATTAATATAGTTCTTTTTTTAATATTGAAAGCTAAATTAAAATTATTGAAAGGTTAAAATTGAATTTAAATTAATATTGTATTAAATTTTTCTATTTGTTCGTATTTTTAAAATTTGGTTTTTGAATAATCTATTTTTTTCATCCATTCTCTACAGTCGGCGCAAATAGAATTGACATGCAATGGAGTATGAGGTCCTCGTGCGTATAATCAGAGTGCAAGTTTTAATCTGTTCCAGATTAAATCCAAACAGTGCAGATACGGAATCTATTCCTATGACCCAACGGCAGGGTGGAAACGAACGCAAATCACGCCGGGACGAAAAAGACGAAGAATCACGGACTATGAAGCAGGTTTGATTTAATTAATATTTCCTTGGGAATAATAGAATTTGAGAAAGAAATGGCTATACAAATTTACAAAAATAATTTGGAATTCTTAGTAATTAATTAATTAACACTCTCTTATAGCGTTTTTTATTGGCAAAACTAATGCGCACTCAGTGCACATTAAAGTTGTTGTACACTATTCTAATCTAAATATAAAAATGAGATATCTTAATTGATAAAATATTCAAAATTTATTTTATCAAATAGCACAATAAAATGTATCGAATATTTCACGGTTTAATTCGTTTATATATTTTTATTAAACGTGTATCTTTATGTCGATTTTTGTACAACGGCTTTAAAATGCACTGAGTACGCACTAGTTCTGCCAATGAAAAACGCTATTAAATTACTGAGTTCACTTGTAAAAAAACTTTACTGAGTTGTCATAACAATGTATAAATTTTAAAATTATTTTGAAGAAAAAAGGTTTTAATTTTGAAATGGAGTTGTTTAATAAAATTGGGTATGCTTTTAGAGATCACATATTGTAGTCGATACGAAACAGTAGAATTGAAAGTATAAGCTTTAGGGATAGGATGGCCTATGTTAGTGAACAGACTACATTCAGTACATTGTTTAAGTATAGTAGGATGTTCCCTGTATTATGGTTTTAATAAATGTTGAAAAACAGCTCTGACCACTTCGAATGGCTGCCAACAGGTGGTGAAAATGCTGGTGGCAGTCGTGGTGCTGTTCGCCATTTGTTGGGCCCCGATGCTAATTGACAATGTGCTGACTGCTTATGGCTACTTGCCGCGCGTCAAGAGTGGGGTGCATAAGCATCTCAATACCGCGTTTCAGTTGATGGCTTATTTTAACAGGTATGCCTCGGATTCAACTTGGAGATTAAGCGCTGGGGAGTCATTAATTTAAAACTGACTTACACTTACGATGATCTCGTGTTTTACCTGATCAACGTGAAGGTTATTGCCTCCGGGGAGTTGTTCGTGGGATTGTGTTACAAGTAGAAAAATCAGCTTGCTGGCCAGCCGCAAGTTTTGTTCCACCAGACAGATCGCATAGAATCTGTGTACACGATTGCGCCATAAACTAAAGAGGAATTTCAAATATTGATTTATTTCTTAATTAAAGGTTCACATTCAGACGAGCGAAATGTGAATTGTTACACAATTTGCAGAAACGCATTCATTTTTATTTATCGATAAATATTTTTTATATGTATTTTTATCGTGAAGTTTTCGCTTTTGTTTTTTGACATAAAAATGTACAATAACGTTTAGAAATTAAAAATCTACTGTAAAAATCACAAATTGAAAATGGTTTTATTTAAATTTGATTAATATTCATTAAAAGAATCTGTTATTTTGTATTTTTTTAGTTTTGGTTTGAAAGTTTGTTAAATAAAATATTAATAAATTAAAATTATTAAATATGTATGTATTGGTAAGAATTTTACTATTGCCAAAAACAACAAAATGTATGCAGAAAACATAGGAAACTGTTTCACAGTTAAAAATTAAATAGAAGGCAGTATCATTTATCGCAATTCGCAAAGTGGTCGTCGAATACAATAAAGCTGGAAACCTCGGTATATTCTAGATATGCAGCACTATTTCATATTTATGAAATGCTTTCTTTCTACTACTATTGAATTCGTTATGGCATTCCTCGAGGCAAATTTAATTATTGCGTTTTATTTCGTAACGAACGGATGCGCGATGTACATATAACTCATAGGAAACGCTAATATTTTTGCGATATATATGCTGATATCGAAGACGTTAATTTCGCATTGCGTGAAGGAAACTTAATTACGTTTGTCGATTAGCATTTGATTTTTTTCAATGAATAAATATAATTTGTGAGAGTTGCAAAATTTGTTCGTGGTTTGCATGCAATAAAACTGGTATACGTGCATACAATATTGTGGTAAACGCGGTCGAATTACATTAATTTATTGAAAACATTAAATTTACAATTTACAATTGATGTATTTGTATTTCATTAAATTTCTAAAATGCTGCGAAAATGTGTTTGCGCGATATGCGGATTTTGAAATCATCCCTGTATTGAATTGCGACAATGGCGAGAACACGTGCGGCATTATTTGCGCCGAATCCACGATCTCTTTTTCTCCCTCGTGTCGCTCGCTTTTTACATTTCGCGATATAGAATGATAACTTGAATAGCTACCTCTGCAAATACGCCGTGTATCATTTTGATAACGACCACTGATTAGCTTAACAAGTGGTGATGCTGTCAGGCAACAGCGTCGGATGCAATAGATAAATTGCACACTATTGAAGTGATTTGGGTCGTTACGAAAAAACATTGCATTCTCCGCTTCGTGTAATTCCTCCCATCGCTTTTAAAAAAAAAAATTTATATTGCCTTTACCCTCTTCTCTCAAACGCTAATATTCCTATACCCGAGAGAGACTTGGTCTTTTCGAGTGATTTTATATTTTACGTTTTTAATTTAATTTACTCTTTAGTTTTATACACATGTAAAATTCTTTCTGTTATCTTTCAGTGAAAATGAAAGGTGACAGTATCTTCTTTGAGAAGAACCGTTTCTTTAATAAATTTAGCGTGAAATTCTTAGCAACGGAAATTCTCTCTCTAGAATATATTACTTTTTCAAAAGAAATATATGTGGTGTTAAAAAATGAAAGTGTAAATGAATTTATAGAGCTTTCTTATCTTTTTAATTAATATTATATCTAAAATAAGTTTACTTTAATAAATATATATTAATTTGGAATTTAATTACTGAAAAGTTGCATTTTGCTGTATGTAAATAAAATAGCTGACAGCCTTTAATTAAATCGTTGCTGAAGAAGAAATGTGGGATTTGAAAGAAATTCGATAGATTAATGAACAGTCTAAATATTCAATTTAAATAAATATTAGTTGGAACTTTTTTCTCTCGTTAAATGTAAACGAGAGTTTTTGATTGAAAAGAAAGTTTTCTTAATTACCCATAATGGCTTTGCTGTACATTCGACAAGTATTTTATTTCATTCTACAAATAACATCTCTATAATTAAATTCTAACATCTTTATAATTAAATTCTATATCTTTTGTATTGAAACGTTTTTTTCCTTCTAATAATTCTTTCGACATTATAAATTAGAAACTGCTGGAAAAAGGATAATAATACGAGATTAATTATGTAAAAGCTTTTAACAGCTAAAAAATTAAATTATTAATTGATGTGTAAATAAAGTATAAAGTTAAAATAGAATAAAATTGTATCTAAAGGACAGACACGAGATTAATTTTTTATCTTTATGCAAATATATACATTTAAAAAAATAACGATTTTTTACTATTTATTAATTTTTACATACATTATTTTATCAAAAACTTTCTTTGAAAAATATCTGCTTTAAATATGAGTAAACTCAATTATTTTTACATTGAAGGCTGGATCGTTCCATCTTTCTATAAGCTTCAGCTCTCTTATTCTTTTATTTTCTTACTTTTTTACTCTTTTGTTTATCCATTAGATAAATCACGTAGTTTATCTAAGGATCGAGCAGTCGACTTTAAGACATCTAAAGCAAAACTTATTCAATAGAGAAACATGCCCACAATATTTTTGGTTTATGAATGGTTTGGTTTAAGAACCCTATTTTCAGAAGTGCCTCGTTATTTTCTATTTAGTTATAACTGTTATAAGGTTAGCAAAAGTGCATACCCTTTCAAAATTTAAAGCAGCTTCTAACTTTTCTTCATCGAATGGAGAGAAACCTTCGGTGGCAGAGAGCTTGGCAAGTTTCCCGAAGTTCGAGTTGCCTCCGGTATTGGTTTTACGGATATAGACATCCTCATGTGTGTGTCTGTGTGGGACTATCTGGAAAGCCATAATAGTAAGAACGTGTATAATAAGTTCAATACAAGTGGATAAGCTTCTTAATAGTTACAAACAAATTTTGCTTCTATTTAATGCAAATCTCGAAACGCTATAGTCTCTCATCCTTAAATTCAGCTCACCTGTTCTTCCTTTGCTGCAAATGTTTAAAGTTTCACGAAAATCCCTACATTAACCTCGAGAAACATGAAACTTCACATTCAAACGTGAGATGGAATTGCCCATTGTCATTTGGAGGTAAACTTTTATTTCATAATTCTAATGTTACTATTATAATATTATATTTTCTAACCCAATAAATTGTCGCAAATATTCGATGTTGTTGAATAAAAACAATCTAATTTTAACTCTGCTAATTTGTTCAAATATAATACTTACGATCATATCGTTTGGGTTAATATGATTAAAAAGCTTTAAAAAATAAAAAATTTTCATAGAAAAAAGGTCTTACATTAGCAGACAAAGTCATAAAATCATCAGAAAAAATTTTTTTTTAATATGATATTAGTAGAAACTAAATTTGGGTCAAACTGATAGAACATATTAAATTGAGTGAATAAATCAGCAAGGTTAAATCTAAATAATACTGGATTGATAATTTATTTTTTATTACTTATCTACAGATTATTTATCAATTATCGGCGCTTAATGTCATTTGCGACAATCGTTTTTTTCGCAAATTATTTTTTATAACTTCTTGAATTCAGATATATCTCGTCGCGCTTTGAAGCTTTCAAGAATTTATAATAAAATAAATATAAGTTACTCATCATTTTCGAATTGCGTTCAAGATGATTTCGAATGGAATAATATACGAATTGCAAATAATTATTTTGTATATTATTTCAGAAATCCATTATATATCGATCGATTTTTTATTATAATACTTTTATTAGTACACTGTTAGAAATGTAACCACGAGTTTCCTTTACATGTAAATGAAGCTGGTGGTTATGAACGAAGTTATATATCGATCGATTTTTTATTATAATACTTTTATTAATACACTATTAGAAATGTAACCACGAGCTTCCTTTACATGTAAATGAAGCTAGTGGTTATGAACGAAATTAAAAGTAATGAATGATTTAACTGAAAATTAAGTTACTGCAGTAGTTACTTAAATGTAATGAACGTGTACATTAAATTTATGAAATTTAATGTACTTTTAATTGAGAAAATACGGTATTAAAAAATTCTGAAAACATTCTGAAAAAATATACATTAAATTTTATGTACATGCACATAAATATTCTTATAGTTACAAATACATTAAATTTAATGTAATGTCATAAAATTAAATTCAAATTAAATTCAATTATGTAACTTCAAAGTTAATGAAATTTAAGAACATTTCTAACAGTGTACTTCGGAATTTGCGTTCATAAAATTAATCGAATGCGATATTGAATTTTAATTACGTATGTTCGAAGGATTTATTGCATCTTAATCAGTGATTAATTTGATTATTGATTGCATCGTATCATAATGTGTTAAGATCAAGCCTTCGAGGTTCATGTTCGTGAGTACGGGATTGTCTAGCCCGAGGTACTTTAGCTATCTATAATGAGAGTACATCCAGACTACTCTCGTCTTCTGGGAATAATTAAGATATGCGATCGCGTGATGTGTTTAATTAATATACATGTATATGTGTTTATTATTATGTAATATTAATACAATAAAATATGAATAAAATAAAACAAAATGTAATATAATAAAAGAGGGAGCACCTCTCTAAATGTTTTTCTCTCGTAGGATATCCGCCGCGAATTTTTTTCTTGTTTTTATATCGAAAAATTTGGTAAGCTGGAACCATTCAGGTATAGAATAATCGATACGGGATTTAAATCTGAAAATTCGATTACAGGAAAATGCGAAATTGGATTGTGTTTACGCATTCCAGATGTTAAACTGCGGATTTCATTTCGCGTTCCGATGCAACCGCGTGCATCTACAGCTACGGATTTATGGACGCGGTTGCATAAACGCGACGTAGTTTCCGCATTTTAGCTGTTCGGCGATTAACGCGATATTCGATCCGATTGTACCGAACGGCAGTCTTTAATTTAATATCGGTGTTGCAGCTGTATAAACCCGATAGTTTACGGGTTTATGTCGAAGCACTTCAGGGAGAACTTCCTGTCGGCTGCCTGCGGCGGATGGTGGATTTTCTGCCCTAGAAGAGGTTACCGAGCATCTGTAACGAGGAACCCAAGTCTCAGCCAGACCAGAAGCACCAGCGTTAGGTACGTCGTGGCTCGTTATATCAGCTCTGATATATCGTTGAGGAGAACGAAAAGAAACTGGAGGGAGTTTCGAAATGCGCCCCTATCGATCCTTCGATACGTACCCCGCTGGTATCGTACCCTTTCATATCGCTTCATAAAATAGAATTTATGGCAATTTTCTCCAAAGCGTTTTTGAAATATATTAGCCGTAAAGTTTCCTTATAATGTCCTCAAAAAGTCGCGCTCCTAATTTCCCAGCGAATCGCTTCTGTAATTTAGTGCGGCACAGCAATTATATTTTTGCTTGAAAACGCAAATAACGTTTAATTAAAACGGCAACGTTCGAGATTTTCGAAAAATCATAATTCGCAGAGTGGCTCGAGCTCGAAGTAGTTTATGCAATTTTATGTGACGCGACCGATAAAACGCGTTAATTTGAAAATACACGATTGAGTTTCTATTGAAACAAACTGCAAACTAACACTTGACAAATGGCAACAAATAACTCGAGCAATCAAATCTTTCAGTGAGAGTAACCAAAAGCACGCTTTACGATCAAAGTTACGCTCGCATAAAGTAGTAATTTTTATGATTGTTGAAACATGAGTGAAGAATTATGAATTATACTTTTCATTTCTGTAAACATTTTCCACTGAATGATTTCACGTCAGCTTTTATAAACTCGTGTGAAAGAATTCATTTTTATAATGAAAAACGTTCATTCAAATTAAAGCAAAGTTATAAAAGAGGAAGATATATATTCTCGCGCGTTGAACTGCGGAGTTCTCTATCGAAATCGCTTCCCGATTGCTACACTGAAAAGAAAGATTGACTGCTACAGCAAATTAGGTGATAAAATATGGCATAGTATTTTTAATTGGCTGCAGCAGCCAATGTCTGGTTGCGTTAGCCTATCTGCAATGTCAGTATAGGATTTCGATAGACTAATGCAAACAAAAATTGACTGCTGCAATCAATTAAAAATGCTATGCCATATTTTACCATCTAATTTGCTGCAGCAGCCAATCTTTTCTTTCAGTGTATGAATTCATTTTCCGCGCGGTTTTGCAGCTTGAGAATTTTCAACACATTAACAGTAAGCTAAGATTCTCTCCAGCCAAAGTCCTCCGTTTCTGCATGCATGATTCAGGTGGATCCGAAACTCCTTTGGGGAGTCAAAGTTCCGAAACTCGAGCGACCCGCATCCCGTAGACCACCCGTGACACGCTTGCGGGGTTCGCAAGTTCCCCGACAGCGAGAGACCCCCCGAAAGTGCATGTGCGACGAATGTCCGGCTAGGGTAGACGAATGGAGCACGATTCGATCTCGAGGTAAACTAAACGGTCGGCCAACGTCACCATTTCATCTCGCACGTTTGCATTCGACATGATACATCGGTGCGCTGCTTCATTAATCCGTGCAGACTTACTTCGCATTCAGTTCCGCAGCAAATCAAAGGGTTGAATTAAGCTCCTTTCAGCTTTACGATGATACGTGGCGTCCTGAGAGTTTGAGAAAATCCAAAGTAGACTTATGTATATAATCTATTCGTATCTGTATATTTTGCTCTGAAAAGAAAAATGTAATCTCTAACTAACAAACACAAATATAATTGTTACATAACATATAGATAAATATACATCATTTACATCTATGTTACGTGGTAGTTATATTCATGATTTGCTGGGATACGACATAAAGAAGAGTCGTCTTAAGAATACAACACTCTGATTAAAAACTGTTGAATAATAGAAAGATATTCAAAGACTTAATTTTTTAAGGTTGTACAAATTATAAAATTGTTATCAACTTTTGAAATGAATCCATTTTTAAGATAAATCGAATAAATATCAATAATTTCAACCTGAGATTAGTACTTGAAAATAACATCGATTCTTAGCATTTTAGTTGAGCAGCTTTTAACAAATATATGGATTAAAAATTATCTATATAAATAAAATTATGTTTGTTTAACTTATAGTGTCTTCAAAATATGTATTATGTTTTATGTATTTAATGATATCATTAAATAACTGCATGTGAGAGGTTCAGAATTGGATTTAACTTTATTTTGTAATTTATATGGAGAGATCGTTTTTTTCATTACAGAGTGTAAACATAACAAAGCCGATAATACATTTGCAAACTTACTCGCATTTACGCTTCTCAGTGCACAAAGCAATGATCAAACATTCCATTTTGTGTCTAATTTTATTAACCTTATTTACTTTAGTATTACCTATTTTATATATTTGTTATATATTTGATTTTATTAACGCATACAAAAAAAATGTAAAACTATCAGTCCGCTGATATTTCTTGTTTTGGTTATTCGATCTTGTATCGCGGTGGCGATGATCGAAGAGTGATATTTGTAAATTGGGAATGACCGCAATTCATCACCAATTTAACGGCGACAACTAAACTGTTTGTTTTTACATAGCAAAAATAAATCCGCAAAAAACAATCTGAATGATGTTCTGATCTGATTATACGATAAAATCTATTGAATTCTACACGTATCCGTAATTTATTTTCGAACGTTTGTTAAGAGTATCTATACAATTTTTATGAACGTATTGAGAAAAAAATAATTTAAATATAATTGACTTTAAATAAATTAAATCTCAATTTTTTTTATCCGAAAAACAACCTCCCGATAGAATAATAAATATATCGAGAGATATAACAATTTAAAAGCATTATATATGCAGAACATTTTTCGAAAATAACAAGATAAAGTAAAATTCGCAGTTTCTTCAAAATCATACTTTTTAAATTGTAAAAGGGATATTTAACAGATCTGGCAAGTTTAAATTCACATTTCTATTCTTAATTACAAGTGCGTATAATTAACTTTAATTTTTAAGATTATATTTACTAAAATATGTAATCTTTAAAAGTCTGAAACTGATAAGATTTGCAATTTAAAAAGAGAAAAGTTCGCGACTTTGCATCTTTTCTCGTTACGCCATTATTAATTGTGAAATTGTGAAAGTAATAAGTTTTTCTGTCATTTCGTAATTCGATATTAGATTTATTTGAGAATCGGAGTGACCAAAGATACATATTAAATGTTACAAATTGATTTTTATAATTTATAACATTTATAATAAATAAGAGTACAGAGAAATATGTGCATATTAGACTTTTCATAATTATTGTTGGTAATTATTAAACATAGCATAACATTTTATAATTCATAAATATTAATTTGTTCATGATAATGTGTATTTTCCATATAAACATACTTTCCGCGAACATACTGAATTAATAAATATAAATTCAGCTTATTTACTCATTTATCTTTTTATGGATAAATGGAGTAGTTCGACAATTCAGAGAATAATATCATAAAATATTATATTATTGCAATTGATATCGATAATATTCAAAACATTGATATGATTAATAATGATAAATATTCAATATTCGATTAGGATAACATTGTATATGTTTCAAAACGTACTTTTTAAACACTTTACAGTGATATTAAATTTCTTTTAAGATTTTTGACGCGTGATGTAAGTTTCTTATAATTCTCCGGAGAAAAATACGAAGAAAGAAAGAATTCCAAGATGTTACAGATTTCATTTCACAGATCTTTTCAGACTTATCCATATCGATGAGAAAGTTCCGCAATACAGTTTCGTAATCTTGACAGTCTCGTATTTCACCGCAAATATTATCACGAATGTTTGTAAAAATAATTATCCAATGCATTATTATAAAAGTAATTACAATGATAAGTCTTGAAATTTATATAAATACACATTGCTTAATTATTCACATTAATTAAGTAATATATGTATTTTCATATAAATGTAAAAAATACTTTTTAATTTTATACATATATTTTTATTTATATTATATGTATAATATATATACCTAT